ACTCTTCGCTCCGTAATGTACCACCTCACAGAAGCAGACTTGAACTCGTAAAGGAGTCGAGTGGGTGTTTTGCTAAAGCCAACGCATGTTGTGACAGCAGCTTTCTGTGTGCAGAGCCAGTTCAGCGTCAGCAAAACAGAGCGGAAATGCTGGAAAGCAGAACCGATTTGTGCTTTTAACAAACATGAAGACAGAGAGCTGGTTAATCGACGTAAATGGAAAACTTAGTGGGAAATCTTTCATGCATCACTTTTACTTAAAGATTCTACAAAAAAAAAAAACAACAATATTTATATACCCAATGTACCTGTCGGGAATTTAATCTGAATGATTATGAATTTCTTTTTAAGAACCATCACACATGTGTAAAGTTTGTTTTAATCCAACATTTAAATGAAACAAACAGAAAAGAAATAAAATTAAAAAATGGTTCTGATAGCATTATCTTTGTTCATTAAGGCAGATTTTTGTTTTTATTAAATTCTAATAAAAAATCATCTGGGACCGTGCTTATTGTTCAGGTGTTCAACAAATGATGAAAGCTACATTCTTTGGATTTATTACAATAAATGAGCAAAAAAATAAATAAAATTTTAAGTCTTGACTGTGGCAATCACAGCTTAAACAAAAATTTGTTGCTTTCTGTTGATTGAGTGGTGCAACATGTTGTATGTTAATTGTTCAAACTAAGAGAAATCAAGCCAGATGTTTAGATAACATGTTACTCTGCCTTTGCTTTTATTTAGTCCACATAAATATGTTAATATTTGGATGTTTTCAACCCAGGTCTGTCAAAATGTGACCTAAAAAAAAGACATTTACAGAAGACGTCTTCTTTTCCTTTTGTTGACTTCTGCAACAAAAGGAAAAGAATGCCACACAAGGGGATTCTTACACATTTTCTACTTGCTCTCTTTACAAATACAAACCGCAATGCCTTTTTTTGAATTTTACATACTAAATCAGAAATAATTATTAATAGTAAAGGGAAAGGATACGTTGTAAAATCCAACTCAACCGAATACCTTACAAAGAGCATAATAATGTCTTGCCAATGAACGAGAAGAGATTGAAGAGATGCCAACCTGTAGAGACAAGGACATCCATGTACGCTGACAGACCGGCTAACGAAACATTAATCAGAGCAGCAGCCAAGAGACCAAAGGTCACCTTGGAGGAACTGCTGATCCACAACTCAGGTGGGAGAAAGGTTTTACTGGAAGAAAGTGTTTCATTTAGATGAGGATCCAATTAAACCCCATACGTCACCTAACGCTTGTTGTAGTAACACAACATTTTGAAAAGCGTATGTTGTAATTCTTCCACTTGTTGATGGTCTATCACATAAATCCTAATAGAAACAATTGAATTCTGGGGTTTTAAACTGACATAATGTGAGAAAAAAACCAAAAGGTTTTGAGTAGTTTGTCATGGCACTGTAGCTTTCCCAGTTGTCTTTGTCATGTTGTACTAATAAAAGTAGAAATAATACACAATTCATTTTTGTTGGTTTTATTATCCCAATTTTTTGAGAAAATAAAATCCCAATTTTTTGAGAAAATATCACAATATTTGCGAACCCTGTGCTGCGCTGGCTTCAGACGCAATCTCTCTTTCTATGGTTAACAAAAATTACACAAATGGAAGCGGTAAAGCTGCAAAGTAATTTTATCTCGCAACCTCTGACAAACCTGCGTGCATCTGGAGATGTTGGGTTTGATTGGATTGAGCTGTGGCTGGAGATAAGAAGACATAAGTCTTAAAATGCCTGAAAGTGTCGTCTTTCTGCTGCTGATGTCATGATTTTGTATAATTTTTGCTTGCATCTATTGCAACTTGAGAACCACCAGAGCTGCGATTGCATGGAAACATGGTGTTTGATTATTGTGTGTTTCTCTGTGTGTGATTGCGTGCGTGAGCTGTGAAAGATTGTGGGTCACGGTGGATTTCCTGTTGTTTGAGGTTGACAATCAGAACTGAAATAGCAGAAAAAGACAGAGACCACTGATGCTCTCTCCACATATCCTGCAGCTCTCTGAGAAACTTAGCTCAGCTCATGGCTCTTTTTTGCAAAACTACACAATCCACAATGGATCTGAGCTCCTACATCTTGAGGTCAAAGAGTCATGGCTAACTCTGTGTAACACCTTCACATCAGTCACGCTTTTATTGCCTTCTTCACTGTATGTACTTCCGCTTTATGCGTTCAATTGTTATTTAATCTCATCCTCTGAAGCCTTCGGGTGATCCCTGTGGCACCAGATAAAGAGGGCACACACTGACACACTAACACACACTTGCAACAAAACAAAATCTGACACAGTTCTGCGCGGAAACACAAATACTTTGTGAATAAAGGCAACATCCACTATGCAGGCGTGAGAGCTCGTCTCGCCGGGGACAGTCACACCTTCGGAGCATGTGTGGAAGGAAGACCGGAGATGACACGACTAGATGAAAAGATTGCGCCGTGTTATGGCTTCTGCACGCTTCCAGATTTCGTACAGTAACACAGACTGAACGAGCTCGGGCCTTTCTGCGAGGAAACGCGCAGAAAACACACATTTTCTAGACGGCGTTTTCAACGTTTCTGCTGGTTTCATATATTCTTTTGTGACAAAAACCAGCACTGAGCAAAAGACTGAGGGGTGTGAGAGTTTACAGAGATCAGGGGCACAGGGGGAAGCGAGTGGGGGACGGACATTACTGGCAGTGATGAATGAAAGACTGCATTACTGGCAGTTGTCCTTTATGAGCGAGACAGAGAAGAATCACAAAGTAAAGAAATGACATGAAAGAGGGACAGTCAGAATGAAAGAGAAGTCAGGCAACCACTTAAAAGGACTTTGAGGTTGACACCTTCACATTTGCCACCTTTCTCCATTTGCAAATATTCCACGTCCTTAGACGACACACCTCTTATTGCATTTGATGTTATTTTGTTCATTTGTACTAAGTCAGAAGGCGCTGGAGAGGAAAAAACCTTTGGTTTGCCATGGTCGCACAACTGGTGTTTGATGTTGAAGGGGAAGTACAGCATTAGATAAATGTTCCCACTGCTGAGTTCACCTTTCTGTCTGCTTCCTTGGGTAAAATTGTGCAATTATTTCAAAGGTACTGAAGGGGTTTCCTGTCTAGAAATACATAAACAAGTTTGTAAGTGATTTTTTTTTATAACTGAGATAGTCATTGATCAGTGGCAGAAAATATCATATCATTAATTTTTTGTACATTAAAAATCCCAGTTAGGATTTTATTACTTTCTGCTATAAACATTTGACAAAAGTATTTTGCCCAAATAATTTAATCAGTCATGCAAGTTGAGCAAATTTGTGAAGCGTAATGAATGTTGAATAAATTTGGATTTGTAATTTGATGGGCACTCATTCCCACTGTGACAACAACACTCGGATGAGATCCACTGCCGCAACATTCAGAGTGGTTTATTAAGTGAAAGGGAAACTCGTCATTCTGATCAAGAACCCTCCACTTCGACCGATCGTCAATAATTTCTAATAATTCAAAATAATCACATTACATCATCTACCGCTGCTTTTATTAAAACACAGCTTCACTGTTTGTCTGATTCAAATGGTCTGAATTTATTCCCAACTATTTAAACAAAGCTTAGACATTTTCAAAATGCTACTCAAGCTCAAATTTATAATTTGTGTTAAAATGATTTGAACGTCTTACATATAACATTCTTCATATTAGTTTTATTATGACTAATAATAACAAAACCATGCTGATTTTCACGCCGCAAAATTATGAAAAAACATATAAACAGTGTTCCAACAGTTGCATGGTAGTTTTAAAAATGTCGTGGTGCACATCAATGTCATCTGTACTTTCAAAAAATAGCAAATCCCAGACATTATTTGCACTAATCTTGTGACGAATGCTTGTTTCTGCACCCTGAGGAAACGGAAGCCAAATCTGCCTGACGTCTTCCTGAGGATGAGCTTGTGCCTCAGGAGTTTGCTCCATTTATCTGCTGAACTGATTTAGTCGCTCTTTGCAAATAATCTGTCAGTCGTTTCAAGGCATTTGAGTGTTTCTACATTTCAAGTCACTGTTAATGTTAAAAGGCTTTAATACTTTTTCAAATTTGCATTGAGAAATCTTAGTTTGGAAAAACGATTGTGGGGCAGAAACTGTTGCGGCTTGAAAAGGTTTCTTGTTTACTTCTTTCACATCTAATGCTGACGCACTCGCCAATAAATCTGCTGACTGTCAAATCTTCCAGACCTCAGGTTACGTCTGTCCTGGCCTATATATATATATATATATATATATATATATATATATATATATATATATATATATATATATATATATATATATATATATATATATATATATATATATATATATATATATATATATATATATATATATATATATATTATATATATATATATATATATATATATATATATATATATATATATATATATATTATATATATATATATATATAGCCAGAAGCAGCATGGTTTTGATATATATATATATATATATATATATATATTATATATATATTATATATATATATATATATATATATATATATATATATATTATATATATATATATATATCAAAACCATGCTGATTCTGGCTATATATATATATATATATATATATATATATATATATATATATATCAAAACCATGCTGATTCTGGCTATATATATATATATATATATATATATATATATATATATATGTGTGTGTGTGTGGTGTGTGTGTGTGTGTGTGTGTGTGTGTGTGTGTGTGTGTATGTATATTTCTTAAATAAGAGCTGTCAATTTATAATTGGAACATCAGTGTGATTAATTCACGTGTTTTATGAACATTTATAAGTATCATATTAATTTTTTTGGTTGAATTTTCCTTACATCCATCTGCATGTCTGAAATTGTGATACAAAAGAGTTTAGTGCTAAATCTAGAAAACTGATGATTGATTTTTGTTTTTCATCTTTGCCTCCTTTCAGCCCAGATTGAAGTTATCCCGTGCAAGATTTGTGGCGATAAGTCTTCCGGAGTGCATTATGGAGTCATCACCTGTGAAGGCTGCAAGGTGAGAAACAGCAGACAACAGATTGCCACAAACTGTCTGGCTTTTATTTGTCGTCTTGTGGACTTTTTCACCTCTTGACTTTTCACCACTGGGTTTGGGTTTTGAGTGTTGGGGGAAAAATAAGCAGCAAATTGTTCCTTCATAAGATGTGGAGCACAAATTACACAAAGTCCTGATGCAAGATAGAAAAGTCCTACAAACAAATTGTATAATCCAGCAGCTTGTATTCTTGTTCCTGTTATGTATTTGTGTTGTGTTTTTATTATTGAAATGAACTAGTTTTAATCATCCATTAACGTATATTTCAATATTTTTTATGTACCTTCATTTTCACAAGTCTTAAGCAGTTCGCTGGACTGAGACACAGGGTCTTTCTGTTCGTGAACAAAGTATTTTTACTGCTATTTACTAGCAAAAATAGAGGATGTGGAAGATGATACCTGAAATTTCAACAATCTGTATTTAATGTATTTTATAAGTGTAAACAATTTAAAAATAGGGCTAATATTAACTTACTTACTCTTAAGATAACTTTTCTTTAAAAGTCACAGGCAACATTTCAGACTGCAGGCTAGCTCCTAGAGGAGATAGCATTTTTTAATAACCAGCTTGTTGGACATGTGTAACAATATTTTGCACAATGTGTTATTGTTGATTATATATTTCCATCACCATAAGCTCTAATATGAGGCAATAGCATCAGAAACAATTCATAATGTGATCATACCAGCCCATGCCTCCTTCAGAAAAGCCTGTTTCCTCACTATATCCAGTACAAAATCAACTAAGTGTATAGTTCCAGTAGTTTTTCATTTACTGGATGGTTATATTGCCTTTGGTTAATGTTGCCTTTGTAGCATAAATACTGCAAAAAGAAAGAGTTAACCATCTTGAGTTTTTGCAGTGCAACTCATCCTAACCCAGCCTTCTTCAACTCTGAGGCTCAGTTATTACAGTATCGTTCCTTGATGTTGTTAAAATTGTTATAACAGTTTTCAGTCTGACTGTACATTGACTTTGAGAGTCAACTGAGATGGTGAGATGAGCTGAAGTGATGTCATATTTGAGAACTGTGCAGCCAGAAGGCCAAGATGGGTAATTCCCAACAAGTTGAGCCGATCCTTTAAACTCCACATCTAGAAGTCTTTTACAGACTAGACTTAGTTTGTTTTGTTCTTGTGCTTATTGTCTGGCAAGTCATTTCACAAGTGAGCTCATCAGATACGTTATAAACTAGTGACCACAAAAACACTTTCATACCAAAGAAAAGCAGTCTGTCCAGGTGTATGGGTTATTGATTTCGTGAATGTTTCTGAATCTACATAGCTGTGATGATATATTTCACTAAAGATTTAGTCAGTTTTGCTTCTTTTTGTCACAGTTATGTGGTTCTGCTCATCACTTAAGTTTAAATAACAAAGTCAAAATGTGGTTTTCACCTCATGATTCCATTGATTAGGGAAACAAAACTATTCAAACCAACCTGGCTCTGTTATATTAGCCAACCTTGTTAAATCATGAATTCGACAAACCACATTCTTTGGTTGCATTTCACCGCATATGCTTAGATTTGGTTTCTGCCTGACCTGTAGAATCAGGAATTTTTATAATAAAACCTGACTGACAACATGAAGTAGACTAAAGATTTAAAAAACTGAAAACATATTGAAGTCTAAAGAAATTCAAGAACAGATACATTGATCTGGAGAGAATTATGTAGTCACTTGCAACCCTCCCACAGTGAGAGACACTTTCCACAAACAGAGGAAATATGACACAATGATGAACCTTTGCACGAATAGCCGGCCCACCAAAATGGCTCCAAGAGCGTGAGAGCAACCAGGAGGTCACAACAGGTGACCTCCTCAGTAAGTTTTTCTCAAAATCTGGATCCAATGCAGAGTTCAAAGATTGAAACCACTAAAAAAAAAAACACACACAAAGGTTTGTCTCACATTTGCTAAAAGAATATTCTGAAGATCCCCAAAGGTTTCTGATAAATGAAATCCTTTGAAAAGGTCATTGTGTTATTTCACAGATTACCTTTGTCTGAGCTGTCTCTGGCTTTTTCTTCTCTGTTATTATAAAATTTATAATTTTCTACTGAAATAATAAAATACTCAAGATGAATGTCATTTCTGTATTAGTGTTTCTGACTTAAAATGCTTGTTACCTGAACCCTCAGGGCTTTTTCCGGCGCAGTCAGCTTCCCACTGTGTCCTACTCCTGCTCCAGGCAGAGTAACTGTCAGATCGACCGGGCCAGCCGGAACCGCTGCCAGCACTGCCGCCTGCAGAAGTGTTTGGCTCAGGGCATGAGCAGAGACGGTGAGGCAGTGCCCGACATGTTGACTTTCCCTTTCACCTGCAGAAGTTCCCTGATCGCTTGTTTACCACCGTGTGTTCTTTGCAGCTGTGAAGTTTGGCCGCATGTCCAAACGTCAGAGGGACTCTCTGATTGCTGAAGTGGAGCGACACAGACAGCAGCAGCAACAGCAGCAGCTTCAGGACGACACGCAGGTGGAGCTGTCCTACCCGCCCAAAAACCGCCAGGAACACTCCCCGCAGCTCCTTCAGCCCATCGCCACACCGTACCCCTACGTCGGTGACGCCTACGGCTCAGAGGTCCACCCCTATCTGGTTTACTCCCCGAGCGACTCGCAGGGGTACCGGGGCTCCGGTGTGTCCCCTACGTCCAGATTTCAGGGGCGGGGGGACAGCGGAGGACACCACGATATCAGAGGTGAAAAACTGCAGTGGGAGCTCTCAATAAAGCAGTTTTCTTCATCTTGCTATTGTTTCTTACCATTGCTATTTTCTTCATTTTTGTCAGGATTTGACTCCAGACAGCAACATCAGGACCTCATGGCTCTTCATTCCTACAATCCTCTCGATGACCTCTACAACCACTACCCCCACTCTCTGCGAAACATAGGTGAGCAGTCAGCACAGTGGGTGCCTTGTGGTTAATACTTTGTAGAACCAAGTCTTTGCAGGTAAATCTTTACCAGTTTTCCATATAACTTATTCTTCTTTGCAAAATGGCTCTCGCTCAGTCAGCCTGGATAGAAAGCGTTATTGTCTTTCTCATCCAGTCACAAATGGTTCACAGCCTGGAACATTCATCTTCCTGAGGAACCTTTTACCCACAGCATGATTCTGCCACCTCTGTGTTTGACAGTGAGGAAACTGTGTTCTGTATTTTTTCAGGAAAACTCAATGTGGTCCCACCTTGAATGAAACCTTTCTTTCACATATTTGCCGTGTCTCTACTTGGCTTAGGGCGACATTGAAATGTCTAAAAACTATTTTTCAACAGTGACTTTCTTCTTGCCATAAAGACCAGATTTCTAGAACGAGTGACCAATAGTTTTCCAGTCAACCAATTCTCCTACCGAAGTTGTGAACCTCTACTTATGTCTCTCTGATTAATGCTCTGCTTTCTCTGCTGTCAGTTAAAGTGAACTTCCATCTCTTGCGAGGTTTGCCTTTGTACCATACTCTTAATTTTCAGGTGTGGGAACACTGAGATAATATTTTACAGCCCTGCTTGCAATTTCTCAACCTGCCTGCCATGTCCTTTGATCTTTATAATGCTATTTGTTGCTAATGCTCTCTAACAAACAAGTGAAAAAGTGGAAAAAGACTAAAATACCCGCCACACTTATCCTTTCACTTTCATTTTACAGTTATGCACTTTGTTGTGTTGCATTAAACCCGGATACATGTATTGTGCAAGGCACTGTATGCCTTTAACGCGTGATTATATTTGTAACATACAGGCATTTTTTCTCTTTTCTTCAGATGAGATGTGTGCCAGCATTGTGCGTTCCCACAGAGAAACCAGCCAGTACAGACTGGAGGAGCTGCAGGCTCTCAGATGGAAAGTGTTCAGCAGAGAGGAGATCCAAGCCTACCAGAGCAAGGTATCACCAAACTAAAATTACCGTATTCTACTTGTGTTTTTTTTTTTTTTTTTTTTTTTTCTCAGGCTTCCTCTTGTGTGATTCAGACAGTCTCATATCAAAACACGTAGCTTCTCGTGGCTTCAGGTCGCCTTTGTTTGATGAATCAAACAGAAAACAGAAAACTTCTTTCATTGTTTTTTCCCCTCCTTCTCGCTCTCTGATTGCTCGTGTTTTTGAAATATAAGGATGGTGTGATGTTGGTGGGAGTAAATTAGGTCATTAAAATGGTAGCAGCAGAAATATTTATAGTGTCTTTAAAAATATTCCCACCCTTTGATTGTTTTTCCATTTTGTGCTGCTGCAACCACAAATTTCAGCTGAGAGTGGCAAAATAGTGCAAGACTCAGAAGCAGGAAGATAAAGATGCACAATTTTACATTTTTATGCTAACAGAAATATGAAACATATGATTAGCTCCATTTACTCTGATACCCATAAATAAAATCCAGCTTTAACACCTGCTTCAGAAATTGACATACACAATAAAAGCACTCCTACTGTGTGTCATTTAATCGTGATATAAATCCGTCTGTTCTGTGAAGCTCAAAGGTTTGTTAGAGAACATTATGAACAAACATGAAGTCCTGGCAGCAGACAGGTCAGAGGTCAAACTGTAGAATCTGAAGTCTGAAGCAGGAAAGGGATATCTCGAACTATGAACATTTCACACAGATGTTCAAAGCCTGTATATCGATACATGGCTGTCCATCCACTCACAGTAACTCTGGGGGAGCTGCAGAGATCCACAGCTCAGGTGGGTGTATCTGTTGGCAGAACAACTTATAGTCCTGGACTCTACAACTCTGACCTCTGTGTATGAGTAATACGAAGAAATCATGCCATTTAGCTTCTCAGACTCTTTATGTCGCTAAGCCATATAGGTAACACACAAAACATGTGGACGATGGTGGCAATGGGTGGCAAAACATACAAATTTATGCCACACTTAAGAATTTTATTTTTAAGCTTATTTCTGTCATGTATTTTTAATTTTATTAATTTGCAAGGCCATCTTTGTGGAAATAGAATAAGCTTATGTGGAATTACAGAAGTTTGCAGCTCATTTATTATGTTGCAGGTAAAAACTGTGATGACTAACAATCCTAACTGCGTTTTCCAGACAGTGGATGAGATGTGGCAGCACTGTGCCGTCCGACTGACTGATGCTGTTCAGTATGTGGTGGAGTTTGCGAAACACATCCCGGGTTTCCGCATGCTCAGCCAGAATGACCAGATCGCTCTCCTCAAAACTGGTAACACTTCGGCAATCTCATTTCCTCCCAATAAAATTTGAATCCCTACAGAATAAAAGGTTAATTTTCCGTCGTTCTTATATCTCCCGGCCAGGCTCCATGGAGGTGGTTCTGGTCCGAATGTGCCGCTTTTTCAACACAGAAAACAACACTGTTTTCTTTGATGGAAAATTTGCTGGAACTGAGGCTTTCAAGTCTCTGGGTAAGAGTCTGACTCAAGGTCATAAGCCCTTTGTGATGAAGCTGATGGAAAACGTACGGGGTCTTATTGGTAATTTCCGATATCTTTTTCCTGAAGCGTGTGGAGATTTAATCGCAGCAGTGTTCGACTTCGCTCACGGCATGTGTGCTCTGAAACTCACAGAGCAGCAGCTCGCCCTCTTCAGTGCTCTGGTCCTAATCAACCCTGGTAAGTATATATAAAAAAGCAAGAAGTTTTGACATGTTGAAGTTCAGATTTGCTCTTCCCCAGGGGTTTCAAAACTTTTCTCGACCATAAAGATCAACTACAAACACATCATTGTGCTCTTTCAACCCCAGATAAAGCTGAAAAGCAGGTTTGCATGTGGAAAATGCAAACGAGATTCACTATTTGATTTATTTATTCACACAAAATTAGTCTTCCTGTCACTGAATGACTCCTAACAGACAGACATGTTTCTCGTTTATAGTGCCTTGCAAATTTATTCACATCCCTTCAGCTTTTTCACATCTTGTCACACCACAACCACAAACCTCAATGTATATTTCATCAGAATTTTATGTGGCCAGCAAAAAGTGGAGCACAATTGTGAAATGCCTGGAAGATACTGTTTTTGGCCATTCTGTGCAAAAAATGCTCAAGCTCAGTGGGAATGGATGTAGAGCTTCTGTGTCCTTAGATTTTACCACAAATTTTCAGTCTAGGTCTGGACTTTGATTGGACCAGTACAGCACACGAATCTACTTTGCATGTTAGGACTATTGTCCTCTTTTTACACCCCTTCTATAATCCTAATTTATCTTCATACATCCAGAACAGCTCCTGATCCTTTCACGTGAAAAAAAGAGGAATCTACATTTTGAAGCATGTCTCGTTACTGTTTTTATAGAAATTGGTACGCAGATGCTTTCCATTCAATCTGCTTAACCTGAAGCTATTCTGGAAAGAAGAACTAGAAATAATTTTTGTCTCTAGATGTGCAAAAGACGCACTTGTTACAGTAAAAGGTGGTTCTGTAAAAGAAAATTAAAAAAAATCAGTTGGAAAAGTTTAGCACAAGGCATGTAAGACTTTTAAGATTTCTAATTATAATATTGCAGCATTTTCATTTGAGATCACAATTAGGCACTACTTCACGTTCACATGCAGTAAAGTTTGTGGCTTGTCAAAGAACATGAATACTTTACACTTGCATGCTTTCTGTCAATCAGGCTAATTTTATAATTGTTTTAAACTTGTGCAGACCGTCCCTCTCTAGAGGACAGAGTGAGAGTCCAACGAGTACACAGAAGTGTGGAGGTGGGACTCACTCACATTCTTCACCGAGACAACCACGATAGTCTGTTGCATAAGGTACGTGTTTCCTCACGTATAAATATTCTCACACACTGTCCTCACAGCTATTGCTCGTCTCAGTGTCCATGTCCTCTCTGCAGCTCTACCAGAGGATGGCAGTGTTGCGTTCGCTGTGCAGCCTGCATATGGAGAAGCTGCGCTGGTTCAGCCAACGATACCCGCTCACTGCTCACTCTCTGTTCCCCCCGCTCTACAAGGAGCTGTTCGCGTCCGAGGCCGAGCTTTTGCCGGGGGCCACTCACTGAGCAACCAGCGGAAGAGTGAGACATACGCACACGTCCGCAGACAAGCAGAACCTGGAGTTTTATTGGTACTTCCCAAAGGAATCTGTGTTCTGAATAAGAGGAAACTATAACTGTAATGGATTATTCAATGATTTCCTTTTGATAGGTTGAGTATTTCAGGGAACTGTGAATTTTGATGTTATTTGAGAGTATATTTTTAGGATTTATTTTGTCTCAGGATGTGCTGTCATAATTCTTCCCAGCTGTAGTTACTGAGTTTGTGTCACAGTTTGTTTATGCATTTATTCCAAGAGGCAGGATGCACTGTCGATGTAAACCTAAAATGACTCCAACTGCTCTCTGCAAACGAAAACATCACTCAATGCATCTACCTTGTGTGTTTCGCATAAGCTTGGTTTCAACTTGAAATTACTTTTTTAAAAATTGCAGTAAAAAATTGCAGTGAAAATATGCTGTTACCCTATACTTTTAGTCCGATTTCAAACTAGAGTGTTTCACTGGTGCTGTCAGGTTAGCTTTTTTAGCAGTAAATGCCACACTGGTTTAAAAAAAAACGAAGAAAAAACAAGCTGTGCTTTCCGGTAAAAAACAAGCAATAAAAATAACAAACTGTAACAGATGTTGACCCCATTTCACAGGAAAAACATTACATAAGCCCAATTTTTCTGCTGTCACTTTATTTTCTTTTCATGTTTCAAGTTAGTGTAAAGTTTCTTTATTATTCAAATCTAGTGATGTTGCTGTAATGTTAAAATGTTCTTGTTTGAAATGTTTTCTGGTTCGACCATCCTCTCTTCTGCTCAGTGTTTGTTTTCCCAGCGGTTTTCGGCTGCATCATTGCTTAAATAAACCATATAAAAACAGAGAAATGTTTTGCCTTATCATAGTGTCTCCTCCCTATTGTAAGAAGATTTGTCCCATTGTAAATGTTAGGAAGTTCCTCACTTTCTGTTTCTGTGTCTTCAGAGAAGTTTTTTTTTTTTGCTCAGATTGACCATTATAGCCAACAGAAGTGTTTCCCTTTGTGTAGGAAAACTCTTGCAGGCTTTTATAACTTTTTAGCTCTTAAGGGATTTGCATTAAATCTAAAACTGTTTTGTTACATCTAGCCTTTTTCCTTTTTTATTTCAAAATAATATTTGCCGTGCATATCCCTAAATGGCATTAAGGTAAAAGTATTGGACTCTTCCACAGCTTTACAAATTGACAAACTGTATTTTAATGTTTTCTTGGCTACATTTTTTTTGTAAAATATCTCAACCTCAGACAGAGTGGATGGAGAATATGCAAAGGTTCAATTTCAAGTTGTGCAACAGATCTTCAGCTGGATTTAGGTCTGACTTTACTAAATCACATTAACATCTTTTCATCTGTAGCTCTGTTTGGATGTTTGGTCTTATTTTACTGCTGTAGATGAACCTCCAGCTCAGTATTAAGTCTTTTGAAACCTTTAACAAGTTTTCTTCCAGGATTGCCATGTATATAGACCCTCCATTTCTCCATTAACTCTGATAAGCTTCCTTTATGTTTTTATTGGCCCGTATTTACATTTGCAAAATCCCCTACATTGCTTGTGGCAAACCACAGAATTAACTTTATGTGGCTTTGTCTCAGCATGGCTTTTTTTTTTTGTTCTTCCGAAAAGGCCAGACAGAAGGAGTATCAGACTGTTTACCTCTGCAACTCCTCCATCGAGCTCTGAATTATTTTCCTTGTTAAATTTCTTCCTGACTGAGTCAAAAAAGAAGAAAGGATCAACCATCTAAAGTGACAGGTCAAAAATAAATGTCCTTCATTCCTCTTCACATCCCTCAATACTTTGTGTTGATCCCCAAAAGGCCTACACAATGCATTGGAGTTGGTGGTTGTCACATGATACACTGAGAAAAAGTTCAATTGAGTGCTTACGAGGTACTGCATTCTTCAATGTTACAGATGTGGCAATGAGATTAAACATTAAACTTACTCTGCATGGATGACTGAACCGTTTTCTCTGGAGTATAAAAATGTTACTCTGTGTAAATGTAACTGTAGCACACTGGAAATATTTATCTTTGCATGAATTGGTCTTTGAAAAGTGTTCATCAGCTTGCCAAATACAAATCTGATGCTAACCCGGTTCAGAAAACGCTATCTAAAATAGCCTCTATTTTTATTTGATCTAACAGAAAGCAGATGCCTGAGTTTATATGGGGAGATAAGGAAACGAAGGCATGACACAGTAAGCTAAACAAGACTTCACATAAGTCAGATTCTATGTAATTCAGGCATTTGAATATTTAGTTACTGAAACCAAAACATTGTGCTTTTGCCTACTCTGAAAATGATTAAATGGCCAAGGAGCAAAATAAGAGAACAAAGTTGGACCAAGTAAAGTAAAAGTTCTTCTAAAGAGAAGAGAAACTCGAGGACCTTGCAAGTAAAACAATGTATAAGGAATGTACTCAATTAAGAAGGGAGTTTAGAGTTTTTCCAGCTTCGTACATAAACGAGCGGCAGTGTTGGTGATAAAGTCAAACAATCCGCAACATAAAGTAGAAATGAATGCGTTACACACAACAAGTTCAGTGTAAGTTGGAATACAGTGTAAGGGATTTTTTACTTCTCATTTCATTTAGAAAAGTCAAACTTTCAGAAATCTGCTGAAACACAGAGTCCCTTTAAATCCAAAGCCCCATTAACTGGAACATGATTCCTTTTTCTCTGTATTCTAGCTATTTCTTACTTTCCCATACTTTCCACTGTGATGCCATTTTGGATTTCATCAAGTAAAGCATTTTGAATTTTGTTGCTGAAATGCAAATACAAATACCAAGAATCTTCCCTTGCTTAGCAATGTGTTTGGCACAAAAGCAACACTGCATCACCAAAAATATCTAGAAAAAAAACCCTTCATATTTCCCTGGCGGTCTTCAAATGGAACTGGGCTGGAGCCAAGATGGATGAAGTTATAAGTACTTGAAAATGTTGACCTCAAACCTTCAGGTGTTAGAGAGATAGAGGACTTGTCCGTAGCAGAGTGGGCCATTATCATGTCAAGCTGTGGTATGTGGGTGGAAGACTGGATTCTGAAATGGAGTAAACAGCTGCTTGAATGGTGCAAATTTGTGCAGTGATGTTACAGCTTTTTAAACGTTATGTTTTTCCCCTTGCGGATAGACGTGTTTTTCATTTGAATTGTACACAATATGGGGAAAAAGTTATGTTTTCCCTGAGGAGCTCACATTTCTGAAAAAGAGACGGTAAATCTAAATGTCAGCTTCTAAAAATGCCCTAAACAAGTGAAGATAAAGAAAACTAAGGACCTGCAGACCTGTATGTCCGAGTTTTAAGTGTTATTATTTTGTACCCACTGAGCATGTAAAAGGATTTCAGCCCATCTGTGCAGATTCAGGGCTCCACAGCTCAACACCAAGCCAAACGTTTGATCCTGATGTCTGGATGATGTTTTGGGAGGCGCAGAAAAGGAAACAGGAACCTCCTCCCGGTTTAAAATCTGGCCATCAGAAAGCAAAGTGTGAGGGATTTGCTAAACAACTGCCGACATCTGGAAAGGGGAGTTTTTCTTTGATTTAACTTGTGTTATGTGGAGGTCGCAATAACCTGGGAGTCAAACTCAGGGCTTTAGCAAGGAAGGGAAGCAAAGAAATAGAAGAAAGATCCATAAAACTACCACTGCCTTTACAATTGTAGAGATTTTTAATAGCTGAAAATTAAACATGACATGATGACATGATGATTTTCACATTACTACCTTCAAATAGCACACCATGTAGACCAGTGTATAAATACACTGATATCTGGTTGGATTAATATGGATTAATGAGCTTTAACTGCAACTGATTTATTATTGTCTGTTTGATGTTATGCTAGTGAGTATCTCCTAATATCCACATTTTGTCCAATTGTTTAGATATAAAGATAAATGATAATGATTAATCGGGGAACTGTGGTGCAGCTGACAAAGAAACAGATCAGGTAAACTGAAGAAAGGTAAGGATGAACGGAGAACAAAACTGGGATCTACCAAGAGAAAAAAAATGATCGTAAGTGTCTAAACCAAAAACTACTCTAGGGGACATGCAGAAATTGTTTTCTTTTGCCTTACATTATTGCGTGCTCTCGCAACATTGTGCTGATCACTTCATGCGGCATAACTGAACACTTTAAGCCTTTCTGAAGATGGCCATTGTGCTTTCTGCTATTCAATAAGGTTTTTGTGAGTTTTTTTCATGTTTTATGTCTTTTTATATCTTTTTCTATAGGATAGAAAGGCACCACAAACCTATGATATAAACAGAAACTTTCCACAAGTAGGAGAGAAAGAAAAATACATCCAAACTATTTGGACTATTTCTGAGTTATTATCACGTGGTAATGAGTCATCTGACAGTTTTAATTGTGTCTTCTTTGTGTTGGTAGTCTGAATGGTTTCCATCTCAACCTTGCACAAACAGACACAAACATGCAGTGAATAAATCTATTTTCAATCAGTTTTTTGCACCAAAGAGTGAAGAATAAACACGTTTTCAGTGAAGCTCTTTATATAAAGAGCTTCATATAAATATAAATTGACATATTTTAAATGTCAATTTAAAATATTTTAAATTTTAAATTGACATTTGTGACTGAAAAGTACTGCGAGGCAGCGCAAAAGAGAAATGTGTCCCTAAAGGGCTCATTGCACAAAACACGAGTAGTGAACAAAAAAAGAACTAAGAAATTACCAATATAAACACCAGGATCATGACATCTGGCTTTTCATGGTGGCTTATGGCTTCTTCCTCTTTTCAGCACATGTTGATGTGCTCTAGATAAAGAACTGTCTTAATGACTTCACAAGGCCCTTTTGACTTTGTTGTGAGACTGACACGCAAATTCCACATCAAACTACTTTAATCTCTGGGACAGAACTCATCTGCTTCCTGAGCATCGTGATTGCCAGACATTCCCATACAATTGTTTAAACAGATGAAAGCATCTGGAAATCCTACCCTGGGTCAGACCAGATCGGCACAGAGCCACAATTCTTAAAGCTTGGCTGATTTCTTTCAGGATGCCATAAAAAGGAAGACGTGTGTTTGATGCACCCATGCATGCCTCCGTTTAACTCAAATGTTGTGCATGAACCTTGGAGAAGCCCACAAAGCCAAGACACCCTAGACCAGGGTTTGGGATGAAGTATCTTTGTGGGGAAAAAAAACAATATCTAATCTGTAGTAACAGATCAGGCTTGAGACTCTGGCAAATGGCAAAGAGCAAAATCTTTATTTCAGTCGTTTGCAAACGGAGAACACACAGTAACCACAACACAACAGCTGCACCTACAATGAGTTCTGATTTGGAGCTGCAAGCTCTCACAATATATAGGACTCTCTATACAATGTGGTCACTCACTGGCCCAGAGCCAGTCGAACAGGTTAATGCACAGTCACTCTTAACAGGGTATAGAGAGAATGCAGCATCCATTCTTAGGGTAAGTTAATTGCTCAGATAATAAACATCTTTATTCAAAAATAGGTGCATTTCCAAAAATCAGGTTTACTAATGGAACAATTTTGCATAACAAGAACATTATCAGACTTTGTACATTGACTCAGCACTTAGCCTTAGCTTGTGACATTTAATGGAGGAATTTGTTAAGCCTTAGGGTTTATTCCATCTCACTACAATAACATAACCTGTTTATTGTTATCTGTTAACAAACACTGGCGCCTTATTTTAGTCACTGACAACCTACTGAAACTTTTCCAAGGAGAGGTCAAAAGGAAACCTATCTAACTGATTCTTCAAAGACTCCTTGACCTACATGGTTTAATAGACTAAACAATACTAGTGTTAAATGACTAAAGAATTAAATAAAATTCTTAAAAGAAATAATAACACAATTTTTACTTCACATCTTTTTGAATGCTTAATAACCAGCCTGATCAAAAGTGGAACAAGAGACAGATTCAGACATGCCGCCTTGTGGGTTCTCTGTTTTTAATCCAACCAAATCCTGTATCTAAAACAATTTCTTATGACTCATGTTGTAAAACTTCCCTCCCAGCCCCATGTTCTCCCCACTCCCTTTCTGCTGCTCCAGCTGCTACTGTGAAAACGTGTGTCCGGTTGCAGAAGGGTTGAGCTCTCAGGCAGACAGACAGACAGACAGACAGCGCAGCAGCTTCTGTTGGGCCAATTAACGGACCGGGCTGTTTCCTGGGCGGCCTCTGACCTCTCCCATACTAACTGGGTCAGGATATTCCATTCTGTACAGCAGGAGACTCGCAGCGGGACGGACACGATCATGGGCTCCTCCTGGGCGTTAGTTTGTGGCGCCGCGTCGCTCTTGGTGTTACTGAGCTCAGCCTGCGAAGGTTGGTCCGGATGTTTCCCCAGCTTTTCTTAGAGTTATTGTGCTTCCTGGCAGGGCTCCATATTTGTTCTTCACAACAGCAGAGAGTCTTTATGTTGGATCGGCAATACAAAACAAAAAGTACTTGTTAGATGTTATCCTTTCTTCAAACTTTTATATATTCTTAATCTTCTGAAATATATATGCTCGGATATATCTTTTTATGAATAAATTCTTGTATTTCAGATTTTTTTTGCTAGTACAATGATTTTATAAACGCCTAAATGTTCTTTAAAAAAATGTAGACTTCTTGTGTTGCCTTTGCATTCTCTTCAGTGGAGAATTACAAGCAGTCTGTTATGCAGTAATTGGCATCAAAACAGCTCATGTTACATAAGTTTTTCATTTCCTCTGTTTACTGTTCTCCAGATGCAGAAAGTTGTCTTCAGCGTGAGATCACAATGTCCCCTGACTTCCTGGGTCAAGGTGTGTTTCTCTTTATTAAACATGGAGTGACACCTATCATTTATGTTATTTATGATTATTTTTTGTTAATTTTGTCGATGAAAGCCTAACAGGCCAGACTGCCAGGAAATATCACTCTGAACCAATAGTAGAGGATGCCCACTGAATTCTTGGTCAGGACTTTTTTTGGTTGGAGTCTGACATGAAGTTGATCAGCATGAGGTTTTCAGGGAGTTCAGGATGCTTTAATAGCAAACTTCGACTCATATGCATTGTTGAGTTTGGTGTTTTGCATTTTCTTTTTGCCAATGTGAATCTCCCCAGAATCTCCTCAGTGACTTTTGCTGGTGCACCTTCTCCTACCACCTGTTTTCCTTCCACTCAACTTTAAACTAATGCATATTGAAGCAACCCTGTCTGAACAGCTAGTTCCTTTAGCAATCTTTAGGGGGGTGTCTATGCCTGTCGGATGGACAAGTCCTCAAGGTTTTGTCGGCCAGAACGTCAAATTTCAGTTTAAAAAAGTATTTACCTTTTCTCTTTTTATCTTTTGTAATAATTTTTATTCCATGAGACACAAAATTTCAGGTTTTCATTTGCTTTAAGACATAACCTGAAATGGACAGAAACAAACAAATGAAGTATGTTAGTATGGTGTATGGATTTATATGATCTATGAATTGAAAAGCTATTTGTACACTCTGCTCATCCAGCAAGATAAAAAAACTAGTTCCCGAAACTGACTGACAATCCTATCAGTGGATTTGTTTCTCTGTTAGACAAAATAACTCTTTGGGCAAAGCTTTAGAAGGAGGGATCTGAACAAAGGTTTTGTCTGTTTCTCTGACTCACTCATTTACTTTTGTAGTCATGTCTATGACTACAAAATGTCCAACTCAAGGGAGTAAACAAGAAGAGCCAAGTTTGATTGACTGCAACAGTTGCAATGGGCATTAAATATGACACAAGCCAAAAAACAAGACAATTTATTAGTGGACTAACTTTCAGTTTGGATTAATAGAATTGTCAAATTTCAATTTCAAATTAATTTAAGAACCAGTTGATGTAAATTTAATTCAAAATACATATTACACATGCAATAAAAAAAAAATGTAATGTATAAAAGTTAAATCAATCTTGATAAAGATGCTATAAATAACAAGAAAACAAGTTCTGTGGGCTCCCCCTGCTGCCCTGGAGATTCTAAGCAGGGATTTTTGGATTTACACTTCAGGCCAGGCCAGCAATGATGACAAGAATTATTTAATGGTCTAATTTCATCATTATTTCTATCATTTCAAGAAGCTATTAATGACCAGATATATGCTGTTTTGTGTGACCCACCTTATTTACTCATACATTTATTTTTGCCATCTGGTGTACATTTAATCTGTGGAATTTAGTTGCTCTTTGGGATGTGTTTTGTGCTTTTCGGATTGTGTTGTCTCTGGTCTTTTTTCAACCAATTAAAAAGCATTGGTACATAAAAAGTCTTTTTCAAAACAAATGTGTTTTTCAGTTCTGCAGGAACCAGATCCATTCATGCTGCAGCAAGAAGTAGATTTGTCAGAGCTTCTAAATTTTGGCGGTACAGTTTATCTTCTTACAGTCTTTAAAAAGCTTATGTTTTCCTGGATTACAAAATAAATACTACAATTTTCTGCATCACAGGTCGATTCACAGTGCTGCCAGAAGGTAAATAATCTTTGATGTCTGAATCACATGCATTCATCCATCCTAATCAACCAGCATAACAGGGTATGTTTTCTGTTTTTTTCTTGTGATCAAAACCTTCTGTATCAACTTATAACCCAGGACCAGGAGGTATGCATTTTCTGCTTTGTCTTTTGTTTAACTCACTCAGCGTGAAACACCTCCAACAACAAAACAATTAACTGCTCGCTGTTTGTGTTTTCCACAAAGGTCAACCTGGTTTTCGGCCCCGCTCTTTCCCTCCTGCGCAAAGATATCCTGTCCAGTTTCCCCTCGGCCGGCCGACGCCTGACAACATCCAGGCCATCTGTGTTCACGCCGAACATCGACCTCGCTACCCAGACTCTTACTTTCCACCTTCTGGTTTTAGCAAACGAAGGCGCATGGCCACAGCTGTCAATAATGCGGAGTCGTGGTTCAGCACATGCTGCAAAGGGAACCAGACTTGGGGGACTGAAGGGACGCTGTGTTGTGCAACACAAGCGGTAAGTTTTTCGTAACAGCAGACTCAGCAAGTTTGTCAATCAAATGATGTGCATTGTCTGCAGTTTTGCAATCAATGCATCTTGATGCAGTTTAAAATTAAAAACATTCAATGATGTTTAACTTTACTCCTTGAACAGATTTCTTAACTTTTTTAACTTGAATTAATGTGAATATGAAAAGAAGCATAAAACTTCCCTGACACTGAGCATTTTCTTTCTGATAAAAAATTTGGGTAAAATGTGCCTCTTATCTTCAAAATTTTTTCCTGGAACACTGTGCAACAAAATCTGTCCGTGCTGCGGATTTTCCATTACAATTTGCTTCTTAGAGCATATCAGCATTCAGTATTTTGTCTGCTTCCTCCAGTGGGAGCATTCAGTTCAGCTGTTCTGTGAGGAGGATTCATCTGTGAAAGATCGACTCTATGAATGCTGCTGGCAAAGAGGAATGAGGAGACTGAGCTGTTTCAATGATAAAGCTCAAAATCCCAACTACGAGCCATCAGAGGAGATACCTGTGGAAGAGATTCGCTCTACAGAAAACTTCCACTTCAACCAAAACACCTGCCCAAGGTCTGTCAACAGAAATGCCACTTAATGTACATTTTTCACATTTTATCACCTTATAATCACAAAACTTCAGTTTGATTTTTGGTAAAAAACCAACAGAAAGTAGGAAATGGACTCATTGCTTAAAGTTGTGTCAAATGACATGTTATCCACTAAAGCTCACAGCATAACATCTACCTCATCAAATAACAAATAACTCAAATGAGTAGTCTCTAAGGGAAGTGAGACAAATTGCAAATCACAGTTCTCTGTTTTATGAACTTTATATAGCTTGAATGAAGAAATATTTGGATTTGTGCCACTTGCATTGCAGGATTCAGATGAGTAATATGAGAAAATTAGCTGCAGAAATGCCAGAAGCCAATGCACCTACTTCCCAAAAAATCGACATCAACTTTCCTCCTGGAAGGCCAACAGCAGATAACATTGAGTCACTGTGTGGCAACCAGAAACGCCGACCTCGCTACACAACCAAGTGTCTGCCGCGCTCAGGCAATGAGCTGCTGGCCCGTCAGGTGAAGACCATCAACCGCCTGGAAAAGAGATTCAAGCAGTGCTGCAAAAAGAAGAAGGGAGCGCTCAACTGTGCCGAACAGAAGGTACAAGAAGCTTTTAAAATGTACTTTATTTTAACTGAATGATTTTGATGGAAATTTCTGGTTTTGTTTCAGTGGCGTGAGGAGCTTAATAGGTACTGCTCTGTTAGGAATGGTGGGCAGGAGTGTTGTCAGACAGAGGATCAGTACGATTGTTTCCAGTCAATTTCTTCAGATCCACTTTATAACATGACATCTGCTGCTGAGGAGCCCACACTGAACAAGATGTGTGATACACAGATTATCAACCACAGGTGGGACTGAAGTACATTCTGAGGGTTTTCTATGTTTTTTTTTCTAAATGTATTTATTACACTGTTTCAAAAAATCAGTATTGATGAATCTTAAATATTTAAAGCAATTATTTTAGTAATTTACTTTCTAAAACTGAAGGTCATAGAGGTTTTATGATTGACTTATTTCAAGCGTAAATGTTAATTTTCACAGGCATAGTTTAAAAATTCCAAATTTTCTCAAAAAATTTAATTTTTTATGAAACTAATGAAAAGATAAGATGTGTAAAACAGAAATGTTCTGCTATGGCCTACAAAGTCACGGTAAAAATCGCTAGTTTACCAGTTCTCTACTAGAGAGCCATTTACACCACAAGTACACAAGAAAAACAAGGGCATCGTAAAAAAGCTGGTTGTTCAAAGAGTGCTGTATCTAAGTATATTAATAGAAAGTTAAGTGGAAGGAAACAGCGTAGTAGAAAAACATGCACCAGCTGCAGGAGTTGCCAAGGTTTGAGAGGATTATAAAGCAAAATTTATTAAAGAGTTTAGGGAAAATTCACAACTATAGTCAGGCCTTCAAGAGCGACCTCATGTAGATGTTTACAAAAGATGGACTTCAACCATCTTGAGTTTAAGCCAGTTCAGCACCAGAGACAGTAGTATCTAACTTTGTCCCAAGGGAGGCAATCCAAAGTCCTTTGTTCAGGTAGAAGTATATTTTACTACTTGTGTCATTTCATTTGGAATTTAAAGTGAGTAAGTTTTACAGAACGAAGGGAAGGCACAAAATATAAGGTCAAGTGTGAAGGTTTCTCTGTCAGTGATGTTTTACAGAGCTTTGTTATGTACTGCTGTTAGTCCAGTTTGTTTTCATCAACCCCAAGGTCAGCACAGCCGCCTGCAAGGAAATTGCAGAGATTTTTCATGCTTCCCTCCTCTGACAAGCTTCATAAAGATCCTGATTTTATTTTCCGTCAGGACTGTCCACACTGCCATAAGTACCAAAACCTGCTTTCATGGCAGCAAACTGACCTGAGCTTAAAATCATAGAGAAGGTATATAATATGATCTGAATGCAGACGTTTAATACATGCCTGGATAAAAAATAAATAAATAAATAAATATGAGTGTATTGAATGAAAAATAAATAAATTGGCTGAGTTAAATTAACTTCACAATAATATTTTTTAGCTGTACTTGCATAAGCAGTAAGAATTTGGTCGTATTAATAACAACGTGACCTATGTGCAGATTTCCTGTCGGTTTTCAACTGAAGACCCGATGCTGCCCCCTGCCGGAGCAAGAAAGAAACGATTGTTTTGAGCTAAATGTAAGTTTGAAGAATCTAATTTTAAGGAATTAGTTAAAAAACAATTAAAACTGAAAAGTTTTCTTGTGTTAATTAAAAATCGAAACTTGAATTTCTTATACTTTCCGTATGGACTTTTTCTCTTGATCAAAACAGCTTGCAGAAATATCCCAGAGTCTGTGTTCATCAAAAACGTCTGACTCTCCTGTTTTTCGCTGCTGCAAGATGACTTCGCCTGAAGAGATTTCACAGTGTCTCAGCAAAAATGTCATGAAAGCCATCACCAAAGGGACTAAGAAGAGCCAGAAGAAAAATAAAATATGCCCCATTCCTTAAATGCATATAACACTGGCAGGAAACATCCATTTCTGGAAATTGTAAGCTTGCTCCAGAGGTGGTTTACAGTCACTGAGCACAAACAAATACTGAAGAGATATTAAAAATGTAGATCATTTTGTCGCTTCATCTACTGCTGGTGTAAAATTATCATCACATGAAAAGCATTGCAATAAGAACCAATGAAACTGAATGATTTTTAATGCATAGTTTCTACTCAAACTCTCGTCTCTGTAGCTGAACCACTGATTACTCTTTGTTGCTGCTCTATGCTTATTTGAATTTATTCAACTTAGATGAATGGAGTTTTGATGAAAGCTTAAAACGATGTTGCAAACTGAATTTTATATAGAATTTTCTTCTGACAGTTTAATAAAAACACATTTGAATCTTATTTGGGTTTGTTGTGACATTTTAAATCCTGGATTGTGTGAGCGGCATGAAGTGTTGATGAGACGTTTGCATACATTCCTCATTGGAGCAAGTAGTTGGGCATTATTCATGTTTTGAACATCTTGTACTAAAAAAACTGAAAAAGAAAAATTGGGTGCACAAAATTTTCATTTTTGGATTTTCTCTAATCCACACAAGCTCCAACTAATACAAATAGACTTAAATATGTGTATACAACCAGTAATTTAACAAAAAATGGTCTTGGCATAATTGTTTTCACATATCTGACCACTGGTCAGAAACTGACTAATTTTGATGCTGCCGCCATGTCACAGTTGATGCAGTGTTCTTGAAAGTTTAATCAGAAGGGACTGACCTATTTACAGTCCTAAATGTAGTTTGTTCTAAAGATTCTACTTTAGGAAGAATTTTTTCTTCCTAAAGTAAGTACTTTAGAAACATATCCAGCACTTATTGTCTTTTATCACTTTCATTCTATGTAATATCACAGGGATAGTTATAGAGTGTAACAACAGCTGGGAGGAAGAGCCTACTAACCCTCCTTTGTGCACCAATGTTACAGCAGTCACTGAAGTAGATCTACAGCATCTTGCGCAGGGTACCAAAACAGGATCATATTAAACTTCAGGAGTCATTAATATTATTTGTCGTGTTATCATCCCACCTTGAAGGAGAACATTTTGATAAAAATGTGACGCTGACTTACAATGATTGTGTTCAAATTTCTGATCTGCACTGTAGAAAGATGGCAGGACACTTTGAATTAGAAACTAAAGTACTGTATATATTATTAAGGCTTGACCACTGTGGTCATACACAATATTAATATCAATGGTAATAATAATTAAAATTTTATTTTCTCTTATGTGTCATTTTATATATTTATGTGAATAATATATTCTGATCTGGTAATTATACATTTTTATACATTATTAGTATTAGTATTAATAAAACTAACTTTATGAAAGTTCTGGAGGTTACTATAAATGAATTAAATACTCTTTCTCTAAAAAACGTTTTTTCATGGGTTTAAGGCAGCAAAAGAAAAATATATTTCACGTCTGTTCGCTGGGGGCGCCAGTGTGCAGAGATCAGAATTCAACCGGAGCTGCAGTTTGTGATGGTCCAGGCGTAATGGCGACTGCTGAAACAGCAGACTCGGGATCAACAGTCCCGACAGGTAGCGTGTCAATTTATCTTCCTCCTTTGTTTTTTGAAAACTGAGATGTAAACAGACAGAGGGAGCGTTATGTGGTTATGAAAATGAGTCCACAAGGTAGTTATGGCTTTTTCAGTTAGCATGTAGCCAGTTAGCATGGGAGATTTCATCAGAACAAATGAACGGAGTGATAGCTAGCTTAGTTAGCTGCGTCGGTAATTAACATGAGCGAAGCGTGTTTTTGTATTCAGTATATCCTTCCATTGTTTCAAACCCGCTGTATACAAAGACGCAATATGTTTTTGATAATAAAAATAAATATCTAGGACCAATTATATTAAGCCGGTGGCGACGCTAAGCTTATAACGAAGCATCCTCGGCAACAGGAGAAACTCAGTAATAAAGCTAGTTATTGTAAAGCAGCAATAAAGGATAGTTTCTTCGTAATTTAAACATTCAAATTCTTAATTTAAACTTTCACTGGTTTTCGATCTGTGGTAAAGGAAAAATCCGCTCTACATTTGTCACGTTCTGCCTCCGGGTCCGTTATTTTCCTCTGTGAGGTTTCACAGTTGACATGGTGCATCATCTCAATTGACATCCTACAACCCTTTAACTAGCAACACATGCTTATCATGCTTTCACCTTTAGTGTATGTATTCACTCTCTTTTTTTTGTTCAGCTGTTTAATCCTGGATCACTGATTTCAATTAGCTTTGACAACAAGGTTAAAATGAAATAAATAAGGAATAAGTATTTAATATGTTTTCTCTAAGTTGTAACTAAAATGTTTTTGAACCGTCGCCTGCATCAGATTATGATGGTTCTTTCTCCTTGTCATGAGAAGTTAGACTTTCTGAGTCCCAGTTAGTTATTTTCCCTGCATGTTGTGGAGTCACTCTGAACTGGTATCCACCCAGTTTGAATCTGTGATTAAAAATAGTGTCTTAAAAACACTCCATGGCTTAGTCCCAAAAACTGTTCATAAACAAGATACAGCAAACTGTCAGACACACAGTTTCATAACCTTGAGTGACAGTAACATAATGTAGTTTCTCTTCCAGTACTCACTGACCTTGTTTCCTATTTTGGGCCAAGAAACACTACTTTTTCAAACTGCTCATTGGCTGGAAAGGACATTAAAAGCATGCCCTATATTATTCTTTAGCTGCAGGTTTCTTGTGATAAAAGCTGGCAGAAACTTTAGTAGATGGAGAGGAAAAGATGGTTTGTCTTTTGCCTTTAGGCTTGCCACTGATGAGCAGAATCCATTAAGTAGTCGGGTTAGTTTAATTCCTTTCTTCTTTGTGTATTATTAATGAATTTCACTTCGACGTTTGAGGAAAGCATTAAAACTAGATATGTATACAGATTACCAAAAATATAACAAGAGCTCTTTGCAAATGAATGGTAAATGGCCTGTACTTGTATAGTGCTTTATCATTCACACACGCACACATGGTGGTAAGGTACTGCAATCTAGTCACAGCTGCCCAGAGGCAGTCTGACTGCTGGTGATGGTGCCACCGGGTCCTCAGACCACCACTAGCAGGCAAGGCGGGTGAAGTGTCTTGCCCCAGGACACAACGATGGAGGCGGATGGAGAGGCAATCGAGCCACCTACCCACTGATTGCGGGATGAACTCAAACCACGTTCACCCCAGAGCTACAAGAAATCTAGTTGTTTTCAGCAGGCGCACATCATTTTGCCCCTTCGTACTTATGCAGTTTTGGTCATTTCACTGGTTTGAGCGGTTGCTTACTGCTATACTTTTCAAACCCAAAGTGTTTTATTTTTAAATATAATCACTATTGCCTTCGTTCTCACAAGAACGAGCCAGTTCAGGCTGACCGTGTCCTGCTTCACAGATATAAGGACTCAGTTCTGGAGGAGAGCTCTGCAGCGAGGTACCAGCATGGGTGTGATTCAGTGACTCTCTGTGTGTTTGAGCAGAAAATGCATTGGTACTGGTGATGCAGTGTGTTTTACATAATGATGGGGAATGTGGGCAGACTGATGCTCATTGTTTCCCGCCGGATTGCAGTGTGTCCTTGATAACCGAGACAAGGAGCATGATATTCTGTGATTTGGCTTGTTTTGCTGAAATATCTTCTTACAGTCCATTGGATAAAACAAAACACATTTTTGATAATTTTTCTAGCTTTGAATGTCTCATTTTCTGTCATCAGTGTTTTTGTATACATTTTGACCAGCGTTTGTGTAGCTTTGCAGTAGATGTTGCCATTGGTTACAAGTAACGGGATTGAACAGTGGGCGACGGAATAAGCTTGCAAAACAAGTTTATGTAAGGACAAAGTTGTGTGACCTCACAAACATTATGTGCTGAGATTTCACTTCTGATATCTAGTTAAAGTGTGCATGTCTAAATACAGATCTTTACTAGTTGTTGGGCATAACATACAGCTTGTTTGTGAAAGCTGTAAAACGATACAGCTTTTACACTTCTTTTATTGACTAAGTGGCTTGATTTGGGAAATTTTAAGAATATGAACAATATTTGCCATTATGGAGTTAATCTAAGTGATGAAAGCAAGTTTTGCAAGACTAAAGGTAGGCAGCAGCCATTTCTCTGAAGTCGTAGTGATGTTGACACACATCCTCCGGGAGCGGATGAATGTGGAGCAGTCATCACAGGGGAGAAGTAGCTCCAATTCACATAGATCTGACATATCAGATGGAGCAGTCAGTAACTGTGGCCGCATTTAGGTCTGGACTCGTCATTTCCCAAATAGTCATCACTCTTTACTGGAAATAGCCCTCCTAATTAACCAGCAGAGGGTTTTATGTTCGGCCATTGATGGATTCTTTCATGACAAAGACTTTTAAGCGGCTGAGTTTGATTTTAGTCGTTCTAGAGATTGCATGTCATAAACAAACTTTTTTTTTTTTTTGTATCTTTTAGGGGCCAGCAGCATTCGGAAAATGGCCCCTGCTGAGGTAAGGATACCAGAAGAAGTTTAGTAGTCATGAGAAATTTACATTTTTAAGGTATCATTGCAATTGGAAGTGTTTTTTTTTTCTTTTTCTTTCAGTGTTATCACATTATTTTCTACCAAAAACGCCTGTGATTACAAATATGTAGATGAGTTATATTGATTTAATGAGTTTAACAAAAAGACAAATTAGAAAACATGCAGCTCCTTTACAGAATATATTTTAAATCTTTTGTACATAAAATGACTTAGGAAAAAAATGTATGCACTACACAGGAGAGTAAACAAACAGTCCTGTCTATCAGTTCCTGACATGAATTTAAAATTCAATCATTACATGAGTGTGATATGGCTACCATCATTATATATCAACCATTTCTATCCATGAAGATGCAGTATGCCAATGTTTTTTAAAGGTTCAATTTTAATGTATAAAAGTGGTTTATTATTTTAGGAGCAAAAGCAATAATTTTTGCCTTAAAAAATAAAATCAGCTTCTTTATGTTATGCATGTTTTTAGAAATTTTGCATACATTTCTAAAAATTTATAGTGAAACTTAAAATGTGAGAATTTTATAGCAGCCAGTTCCTGGTCTCTACATTGTGATATGGTCATACTGACTCTCGTACCACTGTTTACGTTCAGGATGCTGCTGCCTCTCCGGCCTGTTTTATGGTTTAAAACAACTTCTGAACATCTGTCATGTGTTACACAAACACAGATTGAGTGAAAATTAGACAACCTGGAGAAATATCTGAATATTTTCACATGAAGTGTTTAATAAACTCTTGCATCTTTTCTACAGATAATTACCTGGACTGTTAGTCAATCTCAAAACTCAAGACTCAAATGAAACTCAAAGTAAAGTTAATCAAAATAAAGCCTGCTTTTATGATACAACACAGACGTTAGACTTCTGACACCAAAATTCTAATGGTGTTGAAATACAGACAACAAACGTGTTATGTTTTATGTGTTATGTTTTATTAGAACCACAGCATTGCTTTTGTAAACCACATTTATGCTTAATGGCTCCAAAAGGCGGTATGACTGTTTTAATGGTGGCCTGTTAAAACTATAAATGATACTATGTCAGACAAATAAGTCTTTATTTGGTTATTTAACTAATGGCTTCACAGGTCTTTGTAGACTTGTGAATTATGTTTAATAAGTCTGTCCTGACGTTTACACCCCGTAAGTCCTCTGTTTTCACAAACATTTCACTGAGAGTTTTTTTTTTTTCTTTTTCTTGCTGCACAGTTGCCTGGTTCTTCAAGCACAACTCAAAGTATGAAGAAGACCATCGGGCACCGGGGTGTTGAGACCACCACCGGAGAGACCACGTACAAAAAGGTTAAAGATAAGAAAAACCCTTTGTGTAAATCCATAAATATATTAAATATTTATATTTGATGTTTCTGTGACTGGAAGCTCATACATAGCTGTTTAAAAATAAGACTCGAAAGGGGTGAAATATTGTTTGTTCCCTTGCTAACTCTGTTTTCCTTTCTGACCTCTTTAGACCACGTCATCTGCCCTAAAGGGAGCAATCCAATTGGGCATTGCTCACACAGTTGGCAGCCTAAGCCAAAAGGCAGAACGAGATGTTCTCATGCAGGACTTTGTGGTGGTTGAAAGCATCTTCTTTCCCAGGTTGGTGAAAATTTTTAAGCAAGATATCTATGAAAAAATGCTTTTTTTTTTTCTTGTAATTTAAATTCTGTTAAGTTGTTGGAGCTTGAATCTCATGCCATCTCGCCGTGTCTCATTTGTTTTCCAGTGAAGGGAGTAACCTGACCCCTGCTCATCACTACAGCGACTTCCGCTTTAAGACCTACGCTCCTATTGCTTTCCGATACTTCAGAGAAATGTTTGGCATTCGGCCAGATGACTACCTGGTTAGTACTGGAACAAACCTCATCCTGCCATTTTCACAGCTACAGCTTTTCTTAAGCCTTCAGCGATTCTTCAATGGTGTTTAGCTTTTACTTTGAAAGTACTTTTAGCTAAATCTAGATTATATGTTTAATATTTGAATTAACCATTTTCATTTTTTACTTATTCCAAAATTGACAGTACATTTAGAAAACAGTTTTTATCTCTGTTACAATTGTTTGGCATAGGTTAAAAGTGTTTTTCAGATAATGACAGACATTTTCATCTCTGTTAAAGTATTCGTTGTGCAATGAGCCACTAATCGAGTTGTCAAACCCGGGAGCCAGTGGATCCATCTTCTATGTTTCTAGTGACGATGAGTTTATCATCAAGACAGTTCAACACAAAGAGGCAGAATTTCTTCAGAAGCTCTTACCAGGTTATTTCATGGTGAGTCTTTACAGTGTTTACAGGATAGTGGATTATTATTATTATTATTGCATTAACTATTACTATCTTGTGGACTGCAGTTTGTTGTTGCAGTTGTTTTTAATTTTGGATACAGATGCCTCTTCTGGTACTTGCTGCCCCTGTGGCAATCTGAACATTAGCTATAAAATTATGTAACATCCTTGGTCTTTTTAATGTGTGCATATATGAAGGGGGAAAAAAATCTTATTGGTATTTTTTGGGTTGTACATGGTGTAAAAAGATTAATGGTAAATTTTTTTTAAATCTTTTCCAGAATATAAACCAAAACAAGCGCACCCTGCTGCCTAAATTCTATGGACTGTACTGCGTTCAGGCAGGGGGGAAGAATATCCGCATCGTTGTAATGAATAACCTTCTTCCCCGGATCATTCCCATGCACCTAAAATACGACTTAAAGGGCTCCACCTATAAGAGACGAGCCTCTCCTAAGGAAAGAGAAAAAGCTGTTCCTACTTATAAAGACCTGGATTTTATCCAGGACATGCCTGACGGTTTGCTGCTGGAAGCCGACAACTATAATGCCCTATGCAAGACTATTCAGAGGGACTGCTTGGTGAGTCTCACAGAGACACTTGTTTTTGTTGACTGATTATTATTTAAGGATCATTCACTGAAGAATACTGACCGAGTTCACATCTTGAGAACAGAATACTTTATTATTATACAGACAGAGACTACAGATAGCTCCATTGCCAACATAGTTCTTTTATATGTTGGTGAACTAAAGATTTATATTGGGCAATTATTGGGTTAATGTGCTGAGTGAGTTTTTCCAACAATTCACTTTGAATGCCAGTGTGGAAAATTGTTGGTCTGTTAAGCATGAATTACTGCAGTTGCTTGTTTTGTAGTGATTACATGTTGTTTTAGACGGCTCTTTTTCCACTGCTTTTCTTTTCTTCTTTCTTAGTTTTGTTCCGTTCCTTGTTCTTTTTTGGACAATGTTATATAAAAAAAAAAAAAAACCTGACTCGCCAGCAAGGCATGTTTGGGTTGGGGTATTTATTAACATTTATTAACATTTTTGACTGGTTTGGACAAGAGTCATTGTTTGGATGAAACTAAGATTCTCATTTTTCCAAATATTTGTATTCAGTCATTTTGTTTCAAGCGTAGCATTTTCGTAGTTTATCTACACTTTGTGCAGTGAACCTCTTTCTGTTCTTGATTCAGAATTTGCCAAATCTTCTGTGGAACGTGACGTGATAAAAATCCACCTATTCATGATTTCTTTTCTATTGTTCATATCTTATATATTCTGAAGAAAATGCAGCTTGGGAAGCTGAAATAACAGTGCAGTGCTTCTCGATGTGCTGTTGGTTGGCATTTGTAAAGCAGCAAACAGCTGGGGGTCCACTGTATTCCTCGATATCTGTAACTGACTCATACCAAGTTACTTACTGTTCCGTAGTAACTTGTAACCAGCTTTTTGAATTGTCGAGATTTATGTAGACTTTTGTCTTCCACACAGCTATTTAAAAGAAGCTGGTTTGACCAGATATGATTTTTTATCCTGGGACCTTAAAAAATAACTTGGAACATGAACACAATTTTTATTTTCTGTGCTGTAGAGCAGCTAAGATGTCAAGCATGTTCATTATAGTGACTTTAATACCTTTAGCTTTGATATAAGTAAGTGGTTTATTCAATTTACGTGCTTCTAATGATGTCCTATTTTTTCTTTCTACTACTGGGAAAGACAATATCAAGTTATTTTATTTTATAACCAGATAGGGAAGTTTCTGTCCTACATAGTTTGGCAAGTTGTATTACAGCATATTAGAAGCTTGTTAGGAACAGATGCATTACCAGTCGTGGCTCATCAGCTCATCAATTTGCAACTGTTGTTTAAGTGATTTTCTCCTCTCTTGGGGAATTTTCTTTACTGAGTACATAAGCAGCTAATTCATTCTGTTGGTTCATTTCTCGCAGCTTCTGCAGAGTTTCAAGATCATGGACTACAGTTTGTTGATGGGCATCCACAACATGGAACAAGCAAGTCGAGAGCGTGAGCGCAGCGGAGGTAACTCGGGGGACAGCGTGGCCCTGGAAGGTCCAGTGACTCCTGATCAGCGTCGACCACAAGCCCAGAAAAGTTTGTACTGTACCGCCATGGAGTCCATCCAGGGCGAAGCTCGGGTAAAAGGAGCTCTGGATTCAGAAGACCAGTAAGTGTAGCTACCAGCAGATCCAAGCTTGTAGTCTTTTGTGGGGTTGGGGTTATGAAATGATGAAACGTGTTGTTCTGTCCCTGACTTTACAGTGTGGGAGGAATTCCAGCTCGCAATGTGAAAGGAGAGAGGTTACTCATTTACATTGGCATTATTGACATTCTCCAGTCCTACAGGTAGGTGTTGAATTCTTTTTAAATGACTAAGTTTTTTGTTCTTAAGAACAAGAATGCCTTTAATTTATTTAAAAAGCTCTCACCAGTTTTATTATGGTAATGTTATTTAGGTTTATTAAGAAGTTGGAACACTCCTGGAAAGCACTGGTCCATGATGGGGTAAGAACCTCAATGTGATGTACTGCAATTAAACTACCTGCTTGCTAGTAATAAAAGTTTCAGTATTTTTATGATTAACTTCAATGTTTACTAATGATTTAATTAAGTAAAAGAAACACAATGAAATAAGTAACACCTCGCAATCAGGAGCTGCGCTGCAGTACTCTAACATCCTTTCTTTAACACTAATTCTAGTCTTCAACCCTGTGCTATAGATTAAAGCGGGAGCTTTATCACCAGGGAATTAATTGTTGAAAATATTAATTTGTTTAAATCTAAGATTTATCGAAGGTTCATTGATTTCTCAGGAACCTAAAGCATAAGATTTTAACAGACCTGCTTGTAATACATAATGTTTATCTGAGAGAGGAAAGCTGATGGAACATTTCAAAGTTTCTGAACCTCTTTTGACCAGTCAGCTTTCAACAGCAAATGAGCCGCAATAGAAGAGGAAGATGGGGCTTTACTGTAGTAGAAAATCAGACTGCTCACTCACAGAACCAACTGGATCACTATCGGGGTGCAGTTTCCCCAATCGCCTGATGGAAAAACTGTTGGCACAAACAGCTGTTGTTTGACTGGAAGGCTGTTGATTTTGGCACAGTTGGTTAGATCCTTTACTGGTTTCTCACTTTGGATTTGGACCCACAGTATCAACGACAAGAACCTTTCTTTTGGTAAGTCCCTAATTGACAGAGACACATTCAAAGAGTGGGCAGTTGAACAATATCTTACAGGAACATGACAAAATTAATATATACGTATCAAAACATACAATGCTAATACAAATCTTTATCACAACTGAATCTTGCTTGGGGATCAGGCCTGGCTAGAGTCTGAAACCAGGCTTGTTGAATATCCTGCAAAGTAATTTTTACGAGCTTTGTAGAAAAACAGCTGTAGCGGATTGGTCAAATTTGATATGTTTATTTGTGTTATGGGTTATGTCTTTCTCGTTTCAGGACACGGTTTCAGTTCACAGACCTGGTTTCTATGCGGAACGTTTCCAGCAGTTTATGTGCAACACAGTTTTCAAGAAAATTCCACGTAAGGATCTTTGTGTTTTACTAAACCTAGGTTTAGCTGTTGCTTTGTTTATATTGATTCATAATCTTGTTCCCAATCTCTCCTTCAGTTAAGCCGTCACCCTCTAAGAAGAGTCGTGGTGGAGGCCAGGGTGGGCTTAGACGAGCCCCCACTTTGGTGGGTCCTACTCCACTCTCCCACACAGCGGGACAGTCTGCTGGTGACTCCAGACTAGTCTATCACAGCCATTTTAAAAGCACTGAGTCAGAGGCTGAGACCGGTAAGTGTTGTTATCACAGTTGCTCTGTTGTCTCTGTACCTACCTACTCACTTTCATTTATACTCGTTTCTGTACCCATTGCACTGGTTTTGGAAATTGGAGTGTTTGTTCTTTCGTTGGTTGTTAGGTGTTCAGTCAGACAAACCAGATCTGGTTCCTAGGACTCCTCCACCAGCTGACGCTGAGGCCAATCTATCCACCTCATCTCTAGGCAGCGCAGGAGGAGGCTCTGCCTCTCCTCCGCTACGGTAGAACCTTTTCTCTATCGTTGCTCTTTTTTGCTCTTTCAGCTGCTTCTGGTCTGAGTGACATTTCTCTGCAGGTCTGTTGGAGTCGAAGTACACAAATCAGCAAACACAGATCATGATCAGGGAACTTCCCACAGGTATACACTCAAAGTCTTACTGGCATGGTTTGTTTATTGCGTTAAAGCAAATAGATTATCCAATAAAGATTAGGGACAAAGAATGCCAAAGGTTGGAAGTGATTGCATATATGTGATATGAAACTTTTAAATCTATGTAGTACTTCTCCCTGTACTACAAAAGCAAAGCCAAAAGGCTTTGCTTTCAATTGAGCTGTGAGAAAATATATATTTTAATGAAAGACTATGCTCCTACAACAATAATAATAGTTTAAGTGGCAATTTGTTTAATGTTATTTGTTATAGTCGCTGTAATAATTATCTGGTAAAAGGTTTTATGTCCATCCATCACAAGTGGTTTTGGTTTCCAGCTGCTTATAGCAGGTTGTGTGCCCACCTCCGTTGCATTTCTATGTAGCCTGCAGAAAGGAAAGTTGAGCCGTTTGTGCCAGTAAATTGTCTCCTGAAGGGTTAATACTAAGTGCTTTGCTTTTCACTTGCCTGTGTGAGTCATTTCGCCTTATTAATTACATTCTCTTTGTTCCAGTTTGGGGGCGGAAGGGGCTGCTGATAATTCAACCAACGTGTCTGGAAATGAAGAGGTAGTTTCTCTCTCCGACATCATCCCAGAGACTAACATCTGTTTTGTAAGTCTAACTAGTGTTTTTTCACGTTTTTCTTGCAGCAGTGATGGATTATGACAAGGTTACTAACAGCAGTTTATATTTCACAGTGAAAAAGAACAAAAAAAGAAAAAAACAAACAAACCTGGCCACATCTATGAAGATGAGGCACTTCTGGATGCGACAAGGTGGTTGGAAGTAAGATCAACATGAATGAAAGTCATTTGTCCAAGACACCCCTCCTTAGCACTTGTGTAATTTAGTCAACCTTCAGTATAGACTTGAACCGCTCCGTGAACAACAAGGAGAGCCGTAATTTAAAAGAAGTGGACGACTTCAGGCTTCACAGGCTGTGTTTTCACATTTGAACACACAGCCTGGACAGCTGGTTTTCCACAGCTGTGCCAGAGAAAAGCTTTGGTCACTTGTGTGTTGTAATGAAGCAAGTCCTCTTTTTTTCTTATAGACAAAAGAGATGTGATTGTGCAGATAATCCAGCAGAAGCACACTGAGCTCAGAGCACATTAAGGGCAAACCTCTGTGGATGGAGGGAACAAATGGGTTCTGAATATGTGACAACACATCCTCTGTACCTCTGATCAGTAAAGACACCCTGAACTGACAATGTAGTTAATAGGAACCATTCAATCAACACTTGCTGCTTGACTCCACAATCACATATGCATTTCTTCCCTATTGTTACCTGTGTACAGTATTTGTATGGAATCAGAATAAGAGGCTCCAGCGGGTCCGGTCGAACCAAACCTGAGGACATAAGTTTAGTTTCTTGTTTTAAATTATTCTTGTAGAAGCCTCAGTGGTAGTATCAAGACATTTGCCACTGATGAATGTATTTTTATGTTCTTCTGAAGTAGAATCACTCTTACCACATTTATAACAATCTGAAAATCCTCCCAGTTCTGACGTAGCCACTAGGGACGCACCAATTGCAGTTTTCTGGCTGGTCACCGATCTTTAAAACGTCTGATCTCCCATTTCAGAATACAATTTTTTTTTTTTTTTCTTAAAAGTTGCTAAATATTGCAACAAAGTTCTTAAGTTGGTAACAGTGGGTGGCTATTGATAACCTGACCTGCTCAGACCTAATGGGCGGGTCTGACAGCCAGTCCTCTCTCAGCAGAGCAAAATGGGAAAGTGGTTGATTTAAAATTACTGATGTATTGTTGCTCCCCTAGTGGCCAGATTTGCTGAAGTAGGAATGACTACAGAGCAAAGTTTTTGCATCCTGGCTGGATAGTAGATGCTGGTAAATTAATGTTTTTATATATAGAATTGTAGTCATTTTTAAGTTATTGTCTATCTGTCATGTCTGTGCCTTGTGTGTCTTTCTTTGACTTTTTTATGTATAGCTGATATTGTTGAAGGTTAGTGCTGTAGTTGCACACAGAACCTGCCTTATCACTACTGCTGATGTTCATCAAACTGCCATTTGTATGTCCTAACTAACCAGTCAGTTGTGAGGGTTTACAAGAGTTTCAGATTTTAATGCAAACACTAACACCAGTTGCCAGTGTGGTTGATTTTTGTTTCTCCTGACTTCAAACAGGAGTCATCTCTGCTGGTTACAGAAATGACACTGAGTCTTAGACCAATATTATTAACCATGAGTTGATGGGAATTTTTTTAAGAGTTTTTGAAATGAGCTTCTGTTAAAAGGTTGCAAGCAGTAAATAACTTGCCTGCAGTAGATAACTGTCTTGGCATCTTTATTTAGTATAAATCCAGATTAGTTGGTCATAGAGGTTGAAGCTAAGTGCTTGTCTGAGAGGATCCAAGAGTAAAGAGGATTTCTTAAAAGGTCTTAAAACAAGTACAATCTAAAAAATATCAATAAAGACTCTTCTAGACTTTGAGATTTTTCTTTGTATGGCAGAATTTGTTGGGTGTGAATTTGTAGAGGATGTGTGACTAAGCAATTTTAATTGTAGGTTTTTCATGTCGTATTATGTTAGCTCATCTACAGCTCATAGTTTCTATTAGTTTAAACTGTAATAAAGTTTAATTAACTTGATCACAGTAACTCATTCAGCTTAAGTAAATATTAAAAATGCCCTAAGCTGTATTGAGACTGAAACAAAATGTTGGCATTTATTAATCAACAACAAAATGCCTCTGGGATTTTTACTATTACTCCATTACGTTAACGTTTTAATGACTTTATATGTGATATAAAGTGTACTCAATTTATTGCTAAAAATCATGCTTTTTTCTTGTTTTGTTTTTGGGGGTTTTTTGTGTGTGTCGGTGCGCGAGAAACCCACTGTCTCACATTCAGCTTCTGAACAAAACATCGGTGAACAAAAGCTGCACAACAAACAGCCTGTATAAAATACAAGGCGCCAGGAAGTCTGATGGAAAATATTCTGGGTTTCAATCAAAACATCTATGTGAATGCTACTTTAATAACATTCATTAACAATATATGAAATCAGACACAAAATCACCTTTGCTGCTTGTAACCTTTAAAAGAACTTGATTCAAAAATCCTGAAGATTGATGTATTTTAAAAGCCTTAGTGTTTATACACACAAATTTGGTTTCCTTTATTGTTTTGAATAATGATGTTTATTCGTGTTTAGAACATGAATAAAGCTAATAACGTAGTTGGTGTGAGTTTTCAGAAGGGACTTCTGTTGCAGAAATTAGATTTACTACGAAGTGACTGTAGCAAAACTTGCCATCTCATTTCCTGTTATTGTCTGAAGCATGTGCTCTATGCAGCCAAGAGGGAGCAGGAGAAACTAATCAAGAGAAGCAAAAAGGTTGTGCTCATACATGCAGAGTTGAGGGTATAGATGTAAGTCTTTTGTATTCATGGCACCAAAGAGAGAAGCAGAGCGGACACATGAGAGTGCGCCTGAGTTGAAGAATGTGTGATCCACTCCTACTTGGATTTATGTGTTTTTTTACCTGATAACAGAGGTAACCTGTGTTTTAAGGGTTTATGATGAAACTGGATGTTTGTTTTCCTCCTGAATCATTTCATTTCTGAAATGCTGAAATTATTGTGAATCCAGTAGATTTTTAAAAAAACTGTTTTTCTTTATCATACAGCTGAATTTCTTGTCTTGAGACATTTCAAATGATATTTCCACATTCCTGTTAAACTTCTATGTACTACAGCTGTGGTAGCGTTTAGGACCTGCTATTTCCCACTATTGTGTTCTGTAGATGATGTGCTTCAAGTATTTATGCTGAAATGTTAAATATTAACCATTTGAAACACATCTGTTGAGTTGCATTGGCTGAGAGTCAGACAGCCACCAAAATAACACTCCAAATATCTGATTCTAATTTGAGAAGTTTATATTGTGTTTTCCACAACTGTTTTTTTTTTTTTTTTTTTTTTTTTTTTTTTGTTGTTTTGTTTTGCTGTTTCTTAAAATATGTGGTTGTTAGGTTCAGGATGAAGACCAAGTCTAAGATTTTCTACCACACTATGGCACAATAGAAACATCTTTTGGTGCTCTGAGGATGCAGGCAGGTGTAGACACTACAAAGTTGAAGTAATGCAATACAAACTGCAATCTGCCACCTCTCAGCCCTGTGGGGTTTATTTATTTATGCGATCAATTGTTGTAGGCTGAAGTGATAGAAGGTTATTTACTGTTGATGATTGTAAACTGACTGAAGGATGTCTGAAACTTTATAGCTTTTAATGCCTATAAAGGGAGACTATTTGACAATTTCACATTTTATATTTCATGTTTAGATTGTGATACAATATTCTCTCCATCTTTCTGGCTCTTCCATTGTTTTTCTACATGAATGTTTCAAATGGCTTACGAGCCAGTGTTGCTGGTTGTCCTATATGCTTCAATTACTATATTTTTACGGTGTATAAATGTGCATATGTACATATAAGTCACGGAAATGCCTTCTCATACAACATGAACTGCCTGTTCTCCTGCCATCTTTCAGTTAAAGTATGTGGTGATTATGTTTTTATGTCTGATTTGAAGGATTAAACATATTTTCTAAATCTGTCATTGGCTTACATTGTGTTATTAATTTTAATAGGAAGTAATTTTAGAGCCCATCTTGTTTTAAGATTGGGATGGAATGTAGATGATCTTGTGTCTGACTTTGTTACATAACTTCAGCTTCCTCCTCCTCCACAAAACTGTGATAACAAACTCCTGGGCTCTCCAGCTATCCATCTGCAATCTGGAAACTGCAACGACGAGCAGAAAAAGAAGAAAAACAACATTTTACCCAAAGAACATTATTTAAGCAAATTTTCATGAAAAAACTTCCAGTTTGTCTTAAATGCAACTGACATTTAAAATTGAAATGCAAATGTTTTAAATTTATAACATAAACAGTCAGGTAGCGGGTTTTGCAATTGCAAAACTGCATGCAATAAACAGAAGGTGTTGTTTACTTTTGTAGAAATATTGTTCACATTCCAATATATCCAGTAGTCAACTTCTTAGCCTCAATTTATTGATTCTGCAGTTCACCTGATCAATAAAAAAAGCACAGTTATTTTTATTCCATTTCCTGGAGCTATTTCCATGAGATGATGTATTGGCAAATATAACTTCTAAATTAGCACCAAGGCAGCTGTATGATTCACCTAACAGTAGCTGTAAATTAACCCTAATAAGAACAACAAATACAAGTAATCCTAAGTAAGCCAAAATAATAATAATGCCTGTTTTCAACTAAGGATCAACACCATTTAATTATACGCTAGAAGCCAGCCCTGCTTACTTTCTCTAAACTGATTTCGAAAGTTGTTGGAAAACCATAAGTACCTCATGAACTATGTACAGTTCAGTTTCTGATTCACATCTTTCACTGATTTTACCTCACATGGTGCCTGCGGCAGCATCTCTTTCAGAGATTTATACATTGTCTTCAGCTGTTCTGATTTCATAAAAAGTTTTTAACAGATTGCAGACAGCAGAAATATGTCGAGTTTTAACATTTTTGTTGCTGTGAAAGTAAAATATAATCAAGCTATTTAATGAATGTTTCACTGATGGTTAATGAGCTTGGGAACATATCTTTTATGATATGCTGTCTCGGGATAGAATTGAGTCTAATGATACTTCATTACCCAGAAGCCTTCACGTTGACGTATGAGACGTAGACGGCTTCAAGATGGTGCTGGAAAGTACTATGGTCTGGTAAGAAATTCGAAATATGTGTATAAATTCAACAATTTGGATGCTAGCTAAGTTTGGAAGAGGTTATAACATAAGAAATCGCGTTTATAGTTTTTGTAAATGTTTGTGTTACGCAGAAATGTCTGGTTTACGCGCTTTGTTTTGTGTTTTATGTCTCCACTGAGTCACTCTTAGCCACAACTAGTAGCTAACCGTTTTTGTTTCAAATATAGCCTTTCTACAAGTACCTTTTTTGGTCAGAATCTTTATGTCTATATTGTTCCCACCTGGTGATTTTATAACCCAATTGAAGAGTTCAGGTTGTTTCCGTCGGTGAAGGGAAATGCTTCTTTGAAGCGGTTTAGCTTTAGCTAGCTAACAAAACCAAAAAGCCGCTGTCATTGTTGTGAGGACGAGTTTGTACCTTTAATTCTGCCAGCAGACAACATGTTATTTATATTTTGAAAGGAAAATGTAAACCGTGTTAAATAAAGACTTATAAGTAAATCAAATAGTTCATATTTTTGAGAACATTTGTCGCCTAAATACAAAATATCAATCATAGCATGTTTGAATCTGAATTAGCTTGTGCGAGCAACTCCCCCTGACATACTGAAATCCCTAATAAATTATTGGATTTTTGCAGAAGATTTATGACCTAATGATTCCTCAACAGAGACTTATTCCTGTAGACTAAAGAAAAAACTGAAATGGAGTCTCACGGTGACGTGGTCAGACATTCTTGGGTGTTTTCTTCCAATAATCTACTAATATTTACATATTGAGATACATTAACTAAGGGTATTATGTTCACACACCCTATGGCTCCATCACTCTGAAAAGTGGCTCGTGGTGCTCTGACACTAGTCTGGCATGTAACTAAAATATCTTGGATTTGTTTTTTGTAGAATTCATTAATATCAGAAGTTGGCTCACTACATTAGGAAAGATGAATTAGAAAACTATTACAAAGTATCTTGGGTTCCTGTTGATGAGGGATGGCAAGAAAAAGAATGAGATGGATAAACTTGACTCTCTGACAGAGTCCAGCCTTCACTTTGAAACAAGATAGACTGTTTTCCAAGATGGTAAACACAACTTATGCTTTGGGCATACGTACAGCAATCAGGCAACCCTTGAAAGCCGCCCTGAATCCTAATTGTCTTCCTCAGATCCATATAATAATTGTAGACTAGAGAAGCTTACTCCAATGACCCCCTCAGCAGTTCAGTGAGGGTAAAGATCTGTTTCACTGTGCCAAGACTAGTAGTGGCATGAAGTTCAACAATCAGTCGGACCCTTCTCTCAAACACCCCAAAGTAGAATTTCCCAGGATGGCAAAAAAGTGTGATACCATAATAGCTGGAGCAAACCTTCGAAGGCTTCTTCCATCATTGAATGACGTCCTCAGTTCATGGACACAACTTACTGGCTTACTGATAATCGAGATTTCCGCCTTCCACCAATTAGCTTCTTTTGTCAAATAGTTGCTGAGGAAGTAACTAGGTTCTTCAGTAAGAATCTGAAGAACAGCCACTATTCCACTGAACTGAAAAGAGTCAACAGTGCTGGATTTATATTAAATCTAACCCTACATAAAGAATGATTGCTTGTCTTTGATTTTAAACAGCATAAAGTTCCTTTTTGCCATCATCAAAAAATCAAATGGGAACATCTCTTGAATAAATCATTAGTCGGAAACATTACAGCCAAAAACAGTCGCTTCATTTTTCCCTTCACACTTTACTAAGAGGTGTTAAAAACAATTTTTCTTGCTTTTTGTGTTACTTATCCATGTCTTATTAGTTTGTAGCCATTACTTGTCTAATCTGTAATATTTAAATGATTTCTCTAACACGGTTTATGGTTTTACCTACCCTTCCCCCCCTCCCAGTGTGGACAACAGTGAGTACATGCGAAATGGAGACTTTCTGCCCACCAGGCTGCAGGCTCAGCAGGATGCAGTTAATATCGTTTGTCACTCCAAGACCCGCAGTAACCCAGAAAATAACGTGGGCCTCATCACCATGGCAAAGTAAGGGGGACTGTGCTTTACTTTGTGCACTGACATTTAAAGTGTTATCTAACAAAGCCGCTGTTCTGTCCCCCGTTCAGCAACTGTGAAGTGCTGACCACCCTGACTCCAGACACAGGGAGGATACTGTCCAAGCTGCATGCGGTGCAGCCTCGAGGAAACATTAGTTTCTGCACTGGAATCAGGGTGGCACATGTGAGTCTGGAACTGGTTTATTGAATGGTGTTTCTCTAGGAATCAGTAAGGTATAGCACGTTATTCTAGTGCAATAAAATCAATACATGCAGTATAGTTTAATGTAGAGGTTGTAGGTTTGGATCCAATGGAAAATGAAGGAATTTGTATTTTATGCACCAATGCATCTCAATGTTTAACTGATATCAAACTCAAACAGCATTAAGGAACCTGCTGTCGACATTTAGAAAAAAGTGGGATGTTTTTCTTTTGTAAATTTGCTGCATTTAATAAGCAGGGAAACATAATTTTTTTTCACTAATTAACTGGGCCAATTAAGGTAAAACTGGCTCAATGTATTACTCTTTGGGACATTTTAAGATTTCCACAGTAAAAATTTCTTGCTGTTTCTTCTAAATTTTCTTTTTCAAAAACATGAATTAGCCTTCATGTGTTTTGTTGATGTGGTTTCTTTCTCTGAGCAGCTGGCGCTGAAGCACAGGCAGGGCAAAAACCACAAGATGCGCATTATTGCATTTGTGGGCAGCCCAGTAGAGGACAATGAAAAAGAAGTGAGTCAAGTCTTGACATTAACTCTCCATATTCATGTGTTATTAGATGTTTAAGGCCTCAGACACAGTATTTACACCGGTGATTTAAAAAAAGTAGATAACTTAGTGAAAATAATTGTACGATAAATTGTGACGCCTAAAGAAGCATGATGGGCATTGAATATTTTCCAGAATGTGTTTTATCATTGCTGGATTGACTAAGAAATTAAAACAACAGGGAGTTACACAACTGGTTTAGATTTGCTCAGAAATTCATCATTGATGAAGCTGTTTAATGAGGCTTAAACAGTTCACTTAAACTAAAGTGGGGTTTTTTTCTTGTAGTTGGTCAAAATGGCAAAGCGTCTGAAGAAAGAGAAAGTCAATGTGGACATCATTAACTTTGGCGAGGAGGTAAATTTAAAGCTTCAGACACTTTGCTTCATCCTGTTGGCCCCGTTTGGACCAGTGGCTCTTTCTGAACCATTCTGTCCTCTGCAGGAGATGAACACAGAGAAGCTGACGGCTTTCATCAACACACTTAATGGCAAAGAGGGAGCTGGCTCCCACCTGGTCACAGTACCTCCGGGGCCCAGTCTGGCAGATGCCCTGCTCTCCTCACCCATCCTGGCAGGGGAAGGAGGCGCCGTGTTGGGTCTCGGTGCCAGTGACTTTGAGTTTGGAGTGGATCCCAGTGCAGACCCAGAGCTGGCCTTGGTAGGAGACAACTTAGCAAATCTAGTGAAACATTTTTTAAAGTTTAATTGATAATCAGTGGCTTGAAAGTGTCTTGACTCTTGCAGGCTCTTCGCGTTTCCATGGAGGAACAGAGACAAAGACAGGAGGATGAAGCTCGCAGAGCTGCTGTTGCATCAGCGGCTGAAGCCAACATTTCCTCCCCTGTAGCAGACGGTGAGAAAAGTCACATAACATGATCGAATCAAAGATGCCGATTTCAGCTCATTTTCACTGTGTGCAACAGACAAACAGGAGGGTGCAAACAACGCTGCATATTTTTCTGTCTCCTCCAGAGTCGGAGGATGCCCTGTTGAAGATGTCAGTCTCACATGCAGACTCGGCTGCACCTGCTCTGCCAGACTTCAGCCGCATGAC